AGCTTGTACATCCGGTAGTTCTCGGTTCATGTATTGCTGAACCCTCCCATTCCTAATTAACTGTATTTTTGGAGTGTGCATGCATGCTGGACATACAGGGCCTGGATTCACACAGTGGGCTAGCCTAAAATATGATTAGCTGTCTTGTGGTTCAGTATGTCTTGTAAACATAACTCATAAGCAAATTGGAAAAATTATGATGTTCAGTTCCTTTGACCACCCTTGTGATATTTATGATACTTAATCTAGTTTTTCGTCACTTGGTATTTTTTCGTTTTATATCCATGATACACAACCTGCTTTATTTATTATTTCAATTGATATGGCTGCCCATCTGAAATTCATGATTGTGAGTGGCTAACAACAATTAAAAACGTAACTATAAAAGCAACATACACATATGAGCAGCTAAGGTAAAAAAAACAGAGCCACCACCAACAAATCAACATAAACCATTGCACAGGCTGTGCCACACATCTGGATCCTGAATCCCGGTGACAAAAATGTGTCTTTAAGGCCTTGTGAAAGTCCAGCAGCATTGGGGCCGTTCTGATCTCTGGGGGTTGATGTTCCAAATGGCAGGTGCCACAATAGAAAAGATTCATTATTTGTATTATTTATGCTCATTATTCATCATTAAAATTGCTCTAACTCAAGTAGTTTTGAATGCAGATAAATCTGTATCTTTAAAGAGCTTGTTAGGGCTAGCAGATCTGGGCTTCAAAAATACACATAACTACTAAATGGGAGCAAAGAGAAAATTCTTTTCTCCTGTTTATGGGTGGATCTGTGTGTACATAGATGGAGAGGGGGTGGACCATGTACAGAAATCATAGTTTGCTTTCCTTATTTTTCCTTCCATTTCCAAAAATATTTGCCCATTTTATGATCTACCTTTTTAAAGGATTTCTGTTCCAGTTCAGCCTGGAGATATCATTCACTTAGAAGGAGAGTGCAATTCTGGTATCTGGATAATAAATGCAGATTCAGGATACTTAATTCTGTATCCAGATGTGCTACTTTCTGGCACCACTGTATCAAAGAGCATTCGGTGCATGAGGAGAGCTGTACTGAGTGAAAAGTTCCAGGTAAGTAAAAAAATACTAGATTCCTGGATTTTTAAAACATTTGTCATGTCAAATATTTTTTATCATAAATCACAATTTACTTCAGCTAAAAATGGTGCTGGTATTTCAAATGTCATTTAATTGAATGGATGCTTCGTATATTACTTCACAAGTAAACCTATAAGGATAGAGGTTTTCTGAATGCTTTTGTTATTTCCATATATATTTGAGGGGATGGACCCTGATTCTTTTATAATGCAATAATAAAGGCAGTCTGTGCATGTGTTTTATCAGTTTTAACTGCCAAGACAGCTGAGATTTTGTAGTATTAAAACATGTGGCACTCTGTCTTGTCTTGATAACTTTGAGATGTGGCTGCTCTCATATAGTTTGTTTAAAAAAATACAATATGTGGGAGTTTATTTTTTAATATGGTTGGGCCAGCAAAAGCCATTTGTGCTCCAATAATCAGCCATAAGGCTCTTAATATTTCTTTCCATGGTAACAAAAGACATCTTTACATATTTTTCTTTATTTCTTCTGGACAAGCCAACAACAGCATTATTGGACTTGGAGACATGTAGATAGCTATATTGGTAAAAATGCATGTTCAGACTTATATTACCAGTCATTTAATTCAGAAACATTTACGATTAGGATAATAGACAAATTGTAGAAAGATAATATTCAAGTAAGAAACAGTCTTTATTATCTTGTAATTTAAGATCACTTATGCACTTCCTTTTTGCAATATGTTGTATATTTTTCTATTCTTAACTTTCCTGGCTTATTTCAACTATAGCCTTACTCGTCTTTGCTCAGAAATAAGTTCTCACTTTGTTCAGTGGGTCTTAATAACTAGTAAGTGTATAGGCCTGCAGCCTTAGTATGAGCATAGTAAGGGAACCACAGAATTTTGTAGATTAATCTATATGTAATACACATTTATGCAAATATTTCCAGAGTGGCTGTTTTGTTTTACAGAGATGTGAGCGTAGTTCACGTGCAATGCTAATAGGTACGATTCTACATGAAATTTTCCAGAAAGCGGGAACAAATTTTACGCAGGAGAAACTGAAAGAAATTGCTTTCTCAGCTGTTCATGGACCAAAGTATCTAAAAGAACTGTAAGGCGTTATCAATATACAATTTATTTAAGAACTATATTTTCTTAGTTTTAGTACTTAGTGGAGATTAGTTTGTGCAGTGTTGTCATGCATTACTGCTGTTGTTGACCATGTGAATGCTGTTTCGTTAGAACTCAGTATGTGCATTACAAAAAGATGCTGTGAATCAAAGGTTCACTTAATGAAAATGTTTTTGGTGTGTAACCAGGTTTCCAGCAGAGCAATTCAGTTACCAATTCAATTTACAATGGTAAAGCATTTCCCTTCTTGTCATGACTGGGAATGTATGCCAAAATCCTTTTCAGATTTTCACATTCCTATTTCTCCCCTTTTCCTGATCTGCTATATATTAAGGACCCAGGTCTCCATGCAGTCACCCCAAAACCTTGGGTCTGGCCCTTGAGTTCCTTCAGAAATTATTATTAACTGTACTTGGTTTCGTTTGAATGAATTTACAGTTTCATTTAATAAAATTATTTTGTGGTACTGGCCCCTTTTCAGTTTCTTCTAGCCGACTTTTCACTAAATGAAAAAAGCCTAAGAATCTTTCCTGTCCAGTTTCTAACTTTCTTTCCTTCTTTCACTCCTGAAGGTATCAATTAAATCTGGAGCAAAATGATATAATGTGTGAGATTGAGGAATACTTACCATCTTTTATTAAATGGGCAGAAGTCTATATAAACAAACACTGCCAAAATAATGTGCAGTTAAAACCGTAAGTAATTGTTAATTGAACAGGAACAGTAATCTTATCATGCTTTAGAGCAGTGTTTCTCAACCTCAATATTTACTGCATTAAAAATTAAAATTGATGCATTCATAGAATATTTATGTATTGAATCATATAAAAATTATATTAAACCTATTACATATTAACATAAATATTTTTCATTAAAAAACCTATATTTTTTTAACAAATGAAGGGTGACGTTGTTTAAAACTTTTGCAAATATCTTTAATATTTGGCAAATCATTTTGATTTTGCGGACCCCTGAGAGGGTCTTGGGGGACCCCAGGAGTCCTCAGACCGCACTTTAAGAAAGGCTGCACTAAGCTATCCTGCGGTTTGGCTGTTTTGGCTTCAGCATATTGTGTGAATCCAGCTATTGTGGTTTTTAAATCACGAGATGTGATGTGGCCTGCACGTATTATGGCTTAATGTGTCACAAACCCACCCAGTTGTGCTTTATTCAACAAATTATGTAAGCAAATCAGCAAAATCAACTACATTTATTTTCCTGTTTTCAGTCCCTTGGCTTTCTTTTCCCCCCGTACAAAATGTTAAGTTTCTATTATATCACCTGAGGTATTCAGAGACAATACATTTTCAAGCTTCTATTATTCATAGTTTTGTTGAAGTTGTAGGAGAGCTATGTTTAGTTGGAGAAAACCAGAAAGAAGTTTGCTTGCATCTTTTCCAGAAAAGAAGCTACTGGACTCCTCTTATTTTTGCTGTGACTTTCACAAAAGGCTGGTTCTGTTTGCTAAAGTGCTAAAGTATTTATGCTGATGTGTTCTTTTATTCAGAAGATAAAAATAGACAAATAATAGCCTAAGTTGTTTAGAAGCATTCTCTTTAAGGTAATATTTCAGCCTTCTGTTGAAGGAGGAATGCAAGTTTCTCCAGGAATTCAATTGTGTACTTCAGGAAATGTATAGCTTAACAATTTCAATTAACATATACAATTTGTTTTGTGATAGGCTAAGAGATAAGTCCTGTTATACTGTCAAAGTTACAGAAATCCTGGATGTTGAGGAGAATATCTGGTGTCCTAGGTTTGGCTTGAAGGGGAAGATTGATGTTACAGCTGGAGTAACCATTCATGAAAGATCTAAAACTGAGACCAAAATAATGCCACTGGAGCTTAAAAGCGGAAAGGAGTCTAACTCTGTAGAGCATAGAAGTCAGGTACGTACACATGGGAATTTATACGGAATGTAAATACATGAAATGCAGAAAATGAATAAAAAAGTAAGTTACAACAGTGCACTGCAGCACAGTTTTATAATATTTTTATAGCAGCTGGTATAATGGATGATCTCCCACTGACTACTGTTGAGGAAGCCCCTGATTTTCAGGACAAGGAATCCACATTGATGGTTAGGGCAAATTTGGCAGAATATTTCTTCTGCCAAGTAGAACAGCTTATATTCTATGGTGATGTTGATGACAGAAATAACATTACTGCTCTGCCATCATTGCATCTAGCAGACTTGTGCTGGGATTTAAAAAGCTTTTATAATCACCCTCTTGGCAAGCCCTAGCTTGGTGCTTCGTATTGTTTGGAAAAATCAAGGAAGTTTTTGCTTGTGTATAAAAAGTATCTCCTGCATTTTCATTGTTGAAAGCAATTGTAAAGCAGGGGGATTGTTGGAAATCTGGCACATCTGAAGAATATCAGATTATGGAAGGCATCCATGGTCCAGGAGCAGCCTATTATGACTTACTTGGAAATAATTTTGTAGATAATCTCTTTCTTCTGCTCCGGGTTGAATGACACTTTATTTCCCTGATTCCCTGAAATTCCCTTTGGTCTTGATAGTTGAAGTTATTTAGAAGAGTGCCAGGAAATCTCACCTGATATTCCCAGCAAGATGTTAGGAGAGGGCTATGCCATAATGGTTAGAATGTCTTTTAGTGAGGGATGTTCCCTATAACTATGAAGGCAGTGGCAACTTAAAAAAACCCCTGTAAATTTGGATGATAAGCCAATCTTTGATTTATTGGGTAAGGTAATAGGTGGACAGCTTTTGATACTTTGTAGTAAAGGTGATTGTGTAAGTTATGGGTGGAAAGTTGGGTGCTGATCCCTTGTGGTTAACCTTGAGAATTGTAGCGTAGAACTACAGTCGTGTGAAAAAGAAAGTACACCCTCTTTGAGTTCTATGGTTACGTATCAGAACA